TCATGTCACCCCAGGGCCCCTTGTTCCTCCCGTGTCCTTTCCATTGGTCTCCAGGGTGAAGCCTCCATATCCCCATGTCCCATATTCCCATATCCTCATCTCCTCATATCCCATGTCCCATATCCCTATATCCCATATCCCCATGTCCCCATACCCTATATCCCCATCTCCCATATCCCAATATCCCCACATCCCATCTCCATATACCCATATCCTCATATCCCATGTCCCATATCCCTACATCCCATAGCCCCATGTCCCCATATCCTCATCTCCTCATATCCCGTATCCGCATGTCCCCATACCCTATATCCCCATCTCTCGTATCCCAATATCCCCATATCCCCATGTCCCATATCCCAATATCCCATCTCCACATCCCAGCTCTCCCAGTGCTCACCATGGCAGCCCCTGGGAACAGGTAGGGATGGTTGCAGCACCTCCTGAGGTCCATCCTGACATCCCCATGTCCCATCTCCCCATCTCCCATATCCCAATATCCCCATGTCCCATATCCCAATATCCCCATCTCCCATATCCCAGTATCCCATCCCCACATCCCAGGCTCACCATGGCAGCCACTGGGAACAGGTAGGGATGGTTGCAGCACTTCTTGAGGTCCATCATGATGTTGAGGAGCGAGACCTGGTTCCCTCCACCCCTTGAGTTCAGCGCCTCGAAGTTCCGGGTCAGGATGTACTTGTAGTACTTCCTATGGGAATGCCGCTGGGAATGGGGCTGGCAGCACCCAATGGGGCTGGGAGCACCCAAACAGCACCCAATGGGGCTGGGGGATCCAAGTGGGGACACTGGGATGGGCGCTGCTTAGACCAGGAGCACCCAATGGGGATGGGCAGGATGGACTTGAAGTGCTTCCTATGGGAATGGGGCTGGGAATAGGGCTGGGAGCACCCAAACAGCACCCAATGGGGCTGGGGGATCCAAGTGGGGACACTGGGATGGGCGCTGCTTAGACTGGGAGCACCCAGAAGGGTTGGGGGGATCAAGTACTGGGTAGACTGGGAGCAGTGGGGGTGTCAGTGGGTTCTGATGGGTGTCTGTAGGTGCTGATGGGTGCTATGGGGTGTCTATGGGTTCTGATGGGTACCTATGGGTGCTATGGGGTGCCACCTACTTCTGCATGGGGCTCAGCTTCACCCTGATGTTGAGCTCGGTCTTAGTGTCTATGGGTGCTATGGGGTGTCTATGGGTTCTGATGGGTACCTATGGGTGCTATGGGGTGCCACCTACTTCTGCATGGGGCTCAGCTTCACCCTGATGTTGAGCTCGGTCTTAGTGTCTATGGGTGCTATGGGGTGTCTATAGGTTCTGATGGGTATCTATGGGCACTGATGGGTGTCACAATACTTATGGGTGCTATGGGGTGTCTACAGGTTCTATGGGCTCGGATGCGTGTCTGGGTTCTGATGGGTACCTATGGGTGCTATGGGGTTTCTATGGGTTCTGATGGGTACCTATTGGTGCTGTGGGGTTTCTATGGGTTCTGATGGGTACCTATTGGTGCTGTGGGGTTTCTATGGGTTCTGATGGGTACCTATTGGTGCTGTGGGGTTTCTATGGGTTCTGATGAAGGGGGTCTGATGGGGTGCGAGGGGGGCTAGAGGGGTTCTATGGGGTGTCTATGGGTTCTGATGGCTACCTATGGGTGCTATGGGGTGTCTATAGGTTCTGATGGGTATCTATGGGCACTGATGGGTGTCACAATACTTATGGGTGCTATGGGGTGTCTACAGGTTCTATGGGCTCGGATGCGTGTCTGGGTTCTGATGGGTACCTATGGGTGCTATGGGGTTTCTATGGGTTCTGATTGGTACCTATTGGTGCTGTGGGGTTTCTATGGGTTCTGATGGGTACCTATTGGTGCTGTGGGGTTTCACCTACTTCTGCTTGGTACCTATTGGTGCTGTGGGGTTTCTATGGGTTCTGATGGGTACCTATTGGTGCTATGGGGTGTCACCTACTTCTGCATGGGGCTCAGCTCCACCCTGACGATGAGCTCGGTCTTGGCTGGCATGTTCTTGAAGACATCAGCCTTGAGGCGCCGCAGCATGTGGGGACCCAGCAGGTCGTGGAGCTTCTTGATCTGGTCCTCCTTGGAGATGTCAGCAAACTCCTCCAGGAAGCCCTCCAGGTTGCTGCAATGGGGACAATGGGGTGCTATGGGGTGGGAATGGGGTGCTATGGGGTGGGGGGATACAGGGATGGAGATGGGTGGGACATGGGGGCAGTTGTGATGTGGTGATGGTTGGGATGTGGGGACATGGTGGGGACCCCATAGGAGGAGAGGGGACCCCA